CAGGACCGCGGGTGCTCCCAGGACCGCGGGACCCCAGCCTGTGCCCTTAGACTTTGCCAGCAGCGGTGCGTCGGGAACCCGCTAGGCTGGCTCTCAGGGCTCCCAGCACTCCCGGACCGACCTCCCCGCGCTCCCGGACCGCTCTCCCCGCGCTCCGGGACCTCTCTCGCCTCTCTCCCTGCGCTCCGGGGCCTCTCTCGCCTCTCTCCCCGCGCTCCGTGACCTCTCTCCCGGCACTCCCGGACTTCTCCCCGCGCTCCGGGGCCTCTCTCCCCGCACTCCGGGACCTCTCTCCCCGCACTCCGGGACCGCTCTCCCCGCGCTCCGAGATCTCTCTCCCCGCGCTCAGGACCACCCGGCGCTGGCGATCTTCTTGCACCCCAGCGGTGGAGACTCAGTCAAAAACATACCTACCTTTCTCTCTTTCCTTTTCTCCACGTCTTCCCTCTCTCATAAGGAGGGAGAAAGTGGAAACAGCCCAGAGTTGTTCCAGGGCTGCGGTAACGCGGCTAACCCGCCAAACGTACTCACCGTCACCGAGAGCAGCAGCAGCAACGCCGGCCACCCGGCCATAGCTCCGACGGGCGACCAAATGCCGCGGGAGCGCAGCGGAGCGCAATGTAGAGTGGGCGGGTCTTAGGTGGCGTGACGAGGAAGTGGCGAGGACAGTGGCTGCGCAGAGAGCCAGTTCCACCCCAGCCCCCGCCGAATCTCCCCTAGCGGAAGGTAGAGGCTGGACAGGTCCCCGCGTTCTTGATTTATATACAGAAGCGTTACTCCCGGTGTCTGCACGGTCACTTGGGTTTCTCTCTGCGTGCCTGTTTGTGACCAAAATTTCCTTTTTATAAGGACCTCAGTCATTTAAAAAATATTTCTTTTATTTATCATCATAATTATTTTCAATTGACCAGAGTGACACAGACAGAGAGAAGAGAGAAAGCGAGAAACCAAGCCGCCAGGTCCGGTACCGGAACCGTGGTCGGTCATGTGGGAGTCCAGTGTCCCTAACCACCACACCACCTGCTGGCCCCAGGACATCAGTCATATTGAAGTAGGGTCCTACCGTGTTCCACTGTGACCCCATGTGAACTACTGTCATTAAGTTCGCACTTACAGTACGCTTCCAAATAAGGTCACATTCCGGAATTCACGGAGTTGGGGCTTCAGCATTTGAATTTAGGGTAGGAGATCCAATCCCTAAATCCAATCCCTAATTCCAGGAGTCTGGCCCAGATCGCGTAGTGACTGCTCTCAAAGCTATTTTTAACCTGTCTACAAGACAGGAATGAGCGAGGCTCTGTTTCTCTGTTGTCTGTTGGTCAATCGCGCCTACCGAGTTTGTGCCGAGCCCTCCGCGTGTGTGTTATCCTTAATCCTGGATGTAAGTGCTGCTAGTCAAACCACAGAGAAGCCGGCCTCAGCTCCATGGTTAAATGCTTGCCACAAAAAGCCAGAACGATCCCACATGGCAGCCTGAGGCTTGAAACAGATACCGGGCAAGTGTGTAAGTGAAGGTCAGCTAGGACATTCTCGGACCTGCGCCAACCCTCCCAGCGCCCGTCGGCTCTGCGTGGTGAATCGGATGTTTGCACTTGGGTTAAGATGACCAACACTGCAACTCCACCCGAGGATGGTGTAACCACAAACAACCGATTCTGCTCCGGGCACCATTGCCTGGTGTTTCAGTACTCATGGTAAATGTCAACACAAGGGAAAAGTCTAGCTAAATGTTCATATTTAATCAAACAATTTCCCTCCCTCGGGCCCCAGAGGGCAACAGCGAGGGCTGCGGCGGCTGCTCTGCTGCGCACTGCCTTGCCCGGCTTCGGGATGGACGCACCCGGGGGCGCCTGGCGGTCTAGGGAGAGCCCGGGCGCGACCCCAGCGCTGGGGCTGCCGCCGCCCGGGCCCCCCAGAGCAGCGGGCGCCCCGG